CTTACCCTTGTAGGTTGTAAGTTTTGGTTTTGGAATGGTATTCCACAATCAATCAGATACAAACCATCCACAAAAATGTTTAGAAAAACCCCTTTATGCTGGTACCTTGCTCAATACTAATGAAACAGCATCTCTTTAATAATTTACTGAGCTATTTTATAATTTTTTCTTTACTTCTTTATTAAAAAATTACAAGTTTTTTTGTTATACGTAACTTTAAGGGGCACAATATTAGTTTATCTAGACATTCCCCTCTCCTCTCCTTTCTATACATTTATACAATGTGATTTAATTTAAGTGCTGTAATTTTGTACTGTATGTTTTCTTTCCTTTTAAATTTTATTTGTTACTTACTTTTTTCACCTTATATCTAATTCTTTATTATCTATGGTTTGGGGAAATGAATAAAATGAAATGAAAAAAGTTTTTGTTTCCAATTTGGGTCATGCAATGCTCACAAGGGAATTTGCCCTTTGTCTTTTTACAAACTTTCATCAAGCTTTCTCCCGCTGTTCACCCTGTTCGTTCACCAGTCAGATGCAAGATACTTGCCTTTAGTACTAGAGAGTCCGAAATTTGGAGAGAGCTTATCACCGGATAATATCATTTTTAATATTATTTTATTTTCTGATATTAAGACCACTACCACTCAGTGTACCACTGAAAAAAAGTTTATTCTGTTTCCTGTACACAATTAAATATAGAAAAATCTATCATTTGTTAGTCTCGTTTGTTTGTGTATCTAGTGTCACTTCCGGTGGTGTTACAGATATGTTTGGTTTAATTGCATTCAAGGCAAAGTTCACACTTGTGTCTTCAATCCAACACCATTTGTTAAAGATTGGCAAGTAAAACATTCCTTTGAGTTCTGTGACTTCTAAACCATCTACAAGAAAAAGGTGTGAAAAGAAAAAAATGGTTAAAAATAATCCTCACTAACTTTTTTTTTCAATTTATTCTTGTTTTCGAAAAAAAACACTGTACTTGGCAGTGCCAACCTCTGTTGAATTATGAAATTAATTAGAAATGTTTTGAAATTATACTGGTGAGGTTGTACCTTATTAACGTACTTATTTTTTTATTTTAGCAAGTCAGTTTTTCACGGCTAGAGAAGGGAAATTAAAAAATGGCATTTAATTTTGTGAAAGTGTTGTCAACACTTTAATTTCCAAAAAACATTTCTAAACAAACTTAAGGATGTTAAGTAGGTACACTGTACGGCATCATTGAGGTTGAGGTTGTTTGGGGAGGATAGCACTCAAGTATATACGGATTTGGCCTATGATCACTGATGATGTGTAATATTAAATTTGTCCCCCAAAACAGTCCCTCAGTGTTATTCAACTCAACACTGACCTATAGTCATGCAGCCTAAAAATAGCCAATTGTCCTAGAGTATGGAATGTTTCTAACATCCAGGGCCCAGTTGCTCGAAGCATGGTAAGCGTTAACCACCGTTTAATACGTTGACAACGTATTGGTTTTGATACTGCTTAACCAATGGTTAAAGCTAACCATGCTTTGGGCAACTCAGCCCAGGTTTTCATCTGGTAATCAACTACTGGTACAGCAAATATTCCAGCTGCCTTTTTCCAGCCTTTGTCTGCAGCCTTTCGATTCAGAGCTAGACAAAATGGTTGCATGCGCTTGTGAACCAAGTAACACAAATTAGTTTGAGATTTAAGTGCACACACATACGTTGGTTATTGCTGATCAAGTCCTTTGTCACTCAAAATTCATGTAAATTAAATGAAGATTTTTACTGTAAAGCTTTTTATGTACGCTCCCATTTTAGTTTGATGATTGAAAAAATTGCAAAAATAGTATTGCATGAAATTAAGGATGACTGTGACCACAATATTATTTTTAAGAGCCAGTCTCTGTAAGATCCTCATATCGAGTTTTGCCCACAAAATGGATTTCGCTCATAGTTTTTCTGTAGACTTCTTTTAATAAGTATATAACAAATATGAAACTAGATTTGGGAAATTCGCTTCTGTAAATGTTTTTTAACGAATTTTCTTTCGGCGCCACATGAGGACCTGAGATGCTTGTGAAATATGCAAATTTTGTCAAAATTCAACCGATTGCTCTGGATAAAAGAGTGCGACCCAAAGCTTCCAATTTGCTAGTTATTTTAATTGAGCCTTTATCTTTAAAATAATACAGGTCAGAATCAGCAACACCTTTTCGTTTAGAAAATCTGAGGAAACACACTTAGCCTCTTTGACCCACTTAGCGAACCATACGATTTTAGCCAAATTCAGTGGATTAAATCTCAAAAGTGGCTCACACTTACAGACTCTCCTGCATATCATTGTGTAGTTCAATTCTTCAGCTACTGAATCGTGTTAAAAGTTTTGGCGGCCATTCAGGTTCGGTCGAGGGGTGAGTGGCGAAACTTGCCTTACTTTGCCATTTCGCCAGTGTTTCGCCATCGTGAAGTCCAGAAGGATTGTCAGAATAGAAAGCGAGAAATCGGGTAAATGCCACTCAAAACTTGTCCATTCCTAAAGACTGCATACTTTCAATCACTGTTTTCCATGTGGCTATGGTTTTAACCAAACGAAGAAGGGAGAGAAGGCGGTGAACGTGAGCTTATTTACTGTCCGCCATGTTTTCGTAGAGATTGTGGAACGAATGGAACATGGAATGCGGAATCCGGAATGCGGAATTCGCAACCCATTTTCTTTTGTTATTTGTGGAAAAAAATCATTTCGCATTTACAATATTTTTTTGTATCTCTTTTTTTAAAATTATAGAATATTAAGCAGGAAGTCTCAGAAGTCTTCTTAGCCTGCTCTAGGCACTAGGGGGATTCCCTATCCAAACTGTCGCTGCTGTTGAAAGATGTCTCAATTTAAATATTTTACTTCTTAAGAGGAGATATCTGAAACTGATGAACTATAATTCAAGAACAGCTAAACAGTGCAAATGTGAAGTGTCAATACGTCATTTTAAGCTTATATTATTTTCCTTGCTCTCGCTATTTTTCCTCGTCTTTTCCTTTCTAAGTGTGATTTTCGGGCTCAGTGAGAAACGAACCATCTTGGCCTAATAATAATGTTACCCCTGTAAGTTGTCTCTTCTTTGCACTCCAAGAAATCGACTTGA